GTCGTACAGGAGCAGCAGCAGCAGGAGCAGGAGCAGGAGCATTAGCCGGAGCAGGAGCAGTAGTAGTAGTAGTAGTAGTAGTAGTAGTCGTGGTGGTGGTGGTGGTAGTAGTAGTAGTAGTAGTAGTAGTATGGATACGAGGATGAACCGTTTCGCTTCTTACTCTTCAGGCAGCGGATTTCGGGTCTCAGCACAGCAGCACGGGCTGCGCGCAGGTGACCAAGTTCGCCTGGCAAACGCTTCTGCGGGGCCACAACAGGTGGCTTGACAGATCTCTTAGTGACTCTGCCGGGTCGTTTGTTTTATTGGGTATTGGGGCAATTTGGCACAGTCAACCTACGGCCATTTCCTCTTGAGCAGCTAAAGACAACGCAACACCGACGCCAGCTTTTGGAGAGCAAGGTAAAAGGCTAAGAAAGGGACGACGGCCGGCGAGAACAGCCACAAACAGAATCAAGCAGCTCGAAACCGACACAGAATCGTGTCCAGACGGGTGTTGGTCTGTTTCCCGCTTTTGACTACGACGATCAGTATTGGGACTTTACTTGTCAGTCATGGTGAATAAGTTTCCATTTCAAATTCCACCGCGGTGGGAGGATTTCGGACATCTTAGACATGCTCATCGACGAGGCGCAGGGAGCGGGGGATGGCCAATTGCCTGTCTTGCCCGTGCCCTGAAATCACTTCCCAGATCGGCCACACCGCCACATCGTAAGTGCCAAATGTCCGGAGCAAACAGTGATGGTCTCAACGTCTCAACCTGCTTGTTACACAGGTCCAAAGCATCAGACGCGCGAGAACGGCAGAACAAGCTAATCCTGCTGTGCAGGTGATGCAGGACATTTCATCGTGCATCTACAGGCAAGAGGGGCACTGCGTTTTTGGCAAAGATGGCCGCATTCTGCGGCACAATGCCGCATGAGCTAAGCGCTCCAAAGACGGCACAGCGTTCTCAGGGCCTTCCTGGCAGGTCAAACCCAGCAGACGATGAGGTCATCGACCTGGACGAGGTGTGGCCCGCGACCACCCCCCCCCCCCCCCCCCTCCAGCGCGCCGGCCCCTTCCAGTCGCATCAATCCGGCGGTGCGTCACGCCGATAGATGATCTGTGTGATTGCTGATTCGTTCTGCATTTGTGTCTGTGTGTCGTGCTTCTAGGTCCCTCTGCCACCACGGGCGCTCTCGCGTCGTTCGAGTGCTGGGCTCAGCAATGGAAAGCGAGCTTTGTTGCTTTCTTGAGGGTAGCTCCCCTAAATCGGAAGGCTGTTTCTGATTCTCGAAAGCCTCTTTCTGCTGGCTTTTCACGCCGGCCAGCCGGGCCGTTCCTGCACAGCCAAGAAGCTCCAGGTGGCGAGCACGAGGATGTCGCAGAGACCAGCAGGAGGCAGGAAGCGGCTTCAGGAAACTTCAGGCTTGGATCCGAACATCACTCTCTGCAGTCTTTACGACCTTCAAATGCTGAAAGCTCATAAATATAATTGGAGCTGAGCCGCGGAGCCGTTGGACTGCGCTCCAGGAGGGCGTCCGGAGCCTCTGGGCCATCGCAGCTGCAGGAGGGAGGGCTGCACTTGCGCTTTGCCTGCCTCCTGAACTTATTTAAACTACCGGGAGCTTTGGGATCTTTCTGGGGAACTCCATGTAGAGACACCTTGGATTCCCAACAAGGGATCATGAACAGGTTGAATTGCAAACAGAGCGATTCTCGCATTCTCGCATCCAGAATGGGGACACTTGGGGCGAAAGTCTTCCCTGCAGACGCCCACAACGCTGCAGCCGTGGGTACCGTGCGCTGCCAAGTCAAGCCAGGGTTGTGTTGCTCTAGGGCCCTAGCTACGACGTCTTCGGCCACGTCTTAGAGTCCGATAATTGTATCTGTTTGGGATTTGACCAGGATGTGTGTTTTCCTTTGAGATTATCAACAGGTTCGCCCACAGCCCTTCGAACGATATCGACATGGCGATCCCTACGCCTATCGATGTTCGGCATCCAACAGGCAGGATCCGACCCGTGTATGCGGCTCTGACATGCCTGGTATACGGAGCCTTGATCTGAATGTGCTTGGAAGGGGCCGCTGACCGGCCACGTGATGGACCCCGACGCCGAAGGGCCGCACGGGTGCAACTAGAGTCAGAATCGCTGCTATGGGCGACTCCGACCTGCAGAGGCGAAACCATGAAGTCGCTCTCAGTGGGAAGTGCACCGAGGTATGGGAGGAGTACACCAGCGAGCTGTGTGCCATGCCGGAGAGCTCAGCTCCGGGTAATTTTCAGAGTTCAGAGTTTTGTGTTCAAAAGGCCCGGCCAGGCGCCCATGTCAGATTGCTGGGTCAAGGGATGTTCAAAGGAATCATCGCGCTTTTCAGAGCCTTTTTGTCGGAAATCTCGGTATCTGCCTCAGATTGCTGAGCCATGCTGAGCCCATGCCAAGCATCCGAGCTGGAGGCACCGGCCCTGGTGGAACTCCGTGACCGACGAGGTGTGGCCATGTCTCCCGGTGGGTGAGTTCTCTCTCAAAACCGGGCGGGCGAGGTGGACAATGCGATGCGGGAGTCCGCCCTGCTCACTGTGCGCGCCTCAGCGTGAGGCATGACTGCATGACGAGGGCGAGGCCCTCCATACAGGTTTGTCAGTTGAGTTGAGGGACTGCAAAACCAGGTTGACAGCTGCATCGCGGCCACGCGAAAAGCTTTGGCCTGCCGTATCGTCAGCGGTTCCCCAGCTGCGGAAGAGCTCGTGGGCCAGCGCAGCGCTCCCATTGGCCGATGCCGAGGTGACTTAGGAAGCGACCAACCCGCAGTGTCTCTGCCCGGCGAGGGCGAGGAAGAGAAGGCGCAGGCCGGCAGAGGCAAAGGTTTCGGTGCCTTTTCCGGCTTGGCGCTTAGCCCAGGCAACCCCGAGCTCACCACGATCAGGGGAGGCCGGAGGATCTCAAAAGGAATAGGATGCAGGGATGATCTGAAGTAGCCAGAACTACAGTAGTCTGCCCAAGTTATTTCAACAGTCTAGGAGCAAAGGAGGGAAGGAATCCGACCGTTACGCAGCTCACAGAATGCTGTATGCACCAAGCACAGCATCCATATTTGACGTTGTACTGCTATTCCCCTTGGCTTTCCTGGATTAGCCCCTCGTTTTACCTATTGTTCTTCATTCTCTCCAGGTTTTCCCGTGTCCGGAGGATGTCAGTGTCGGATATGCGCTCTCATCGCACAGTCGCACTCTCAAGCGCGAAAGGTCCTTGTTCCAACACTGCGTCACAGACTTTACATGGTGTTTTGGGCACGGGCAGGCCGTGTAGCCAACCGATGTAGCATGTGTCTGCAGATGTCTGCAGTCTGATTGTCCAGAATCCCTGACCTGGAGGGTGGAGCCGATCTGCTCTCGCTGCCGGCGCTGGTGGTGGTGGCAAACGGCGCGGGGCTCGACTACCGAAAGCTTCCGATCGAATTGATTCTCTTTGGAGGCTCCTTTCGTTCGGGCTGCGGCTCTTCCTCCCCTCACCGTCTCGGGTCACTCCTAGTTCACTTTGACCGCCCACTCCAATCAATGTGTTAACTCGTGGACAGACGGTCCACGATGTCCAGTTACCAGTCCTCTCAGCAGTTGAGCGTTGGCAGTCGCAGTCGCAGCCAGTGCGTTTTGGCATCCAGGACCTTTGAAGGGTTTGTTAAGCCCTGAGTGTTTTGGGCTCTGCGGTTTCACGGGCGGAAGACTTGTTGGGCTTTCAGGCCTCCGGTGCTTCAGATTCAAGCGCCTGCCTGCTACAAGTCTTATTCTAGGCACTCGCTTCAGTGGCGTCACAAAGTTCGGCCGCAGCTCGTCCCGGAGGACTGTGCTGTTGCCATTAAAGCATCGGGTTGTCCTCGTACCTGTTAAAAAGACTATGAAAGACTCGTGGAAGCCTCCCATGCGAACAGAGCAATCTCATTCTTTGGAGCATTTTGGGGCGCAGCGGTGTTCCTTGCTTCTTTGGCTTCGGCAAGCTGTGCAATGGCACGCTCGCACACTTTGCATCTGCAACACTACACTGCGCGATTCTCTACAGAGTAGACAGGCCGACAGTATTTGTCTGTCGGCTTGATTTTGCATATCCCTGCCCTGAAGCTTCGGACTTTGGACTACTCCAGTCCCATCGGGGACTGAAGGACGCTGGTGCCCGACTTTCCCATGACGGAGCCCATCGCCTCGCGTTCGCACTTCAACGTCGTGCACGACCAGGAAAGGGTCCTACCGAGATGTCAGGAATATTCGTCAATGATGATTCTAGCACGAACGACAGTGATGGATCAAGGGTTTCGACGCCATGCTCCCAAAACTAGTCACGGCGAGATGCAGCGAGCAAGCGACACCAGAAGAGCCTCAAGCACTTGCATTGCGCAAAGGAAGCTGCCGGATTACCTAAGATCTTAGATATTCTCAACCGTTTTGAAGAAAAATATTTACAAGTTCGTTTCGTATTGAAACCGCACATGGGAGTTACAGTATGTCATGGGTGTTTTCATCACATATGTCATGCTGTTCACGATTCTTGCAACATGGGATGTAAGCCACCCTCGGAAGAACCTGCAGGAGAGCGATCAGTTCTACATCATGGATGCGGGATCGAAGTGGGGCACCTTCCTAAAAATCAGCCTCGCCCTTGGCGGGTCTAGGACTACTCTGTAAGAGCTTTTGAGGGCGTCCCTTGGGTCTGAGGCTGACGCCGAGGGTTCCGTCGCGAAGTAGGGCCCTCCATTATTAGCGGGATGAAACTTGTACAAACTGGCTTCCACAGGGTTGCAGCTATGTTCATGTGGGGAGGTAGAGGCTCTTTCTGTTGAAAGACCAGCACGGCGGGCGAAGCCTCGACTTTTTTTTGTACGTCACATCGAGCAGAAGCACGCCGAAAGCCCTTCCAAATACCCTTCGAATGCACAAGGTTCTAGCGCCACGCTGAACTGCGGCGACTGGATCCGTGTAGGCACTGAGCTCTGGCGCAGCTTTTCCAGGTCTTGAAGCCCAACACCCTGAACTCTGAACAGGCGGAGTCGAGTTTATCGTCCGCTTTTGCGGAGGTGGGCGTAAAGTCTTGGAGAAGGGGGAGCCTTGAGTTTGGAGCTTGGTTCCTGTCACAAGAGGTGGTTGCCGATGCCAGAAGAGCCACCGGCACTACCGCCTACATGCACTGCGGCTGACACGCCGCCGCGCTCGAAGCTCAACGTCCTAGCTTGGGGTCCTTTCGGGCCTTCAAAGGCCCGGCCATCTCTGTGAGCACTCGTTGAGGCACCTATGATGAGTCTCTCCAGGCAGGGTGCTTTTTTGAAGGCCGTGAGGCTGATGAGGCTGAGCTCCAGCGCGCGTGCTCGTCAGCCTCAAAGCTTTGAATGCTACTTCGGCAGAGAAGCCCAGGAGACTTAAAGTCGACAGCTCTCTGTGCAGGCTCACCCCGCACTTTCCGGAGATCCAGGAGGAGGCCAGCGGGTCAGGGGGTTCCACAGGAAGACGGCGAAGCTGCTGAAACCCTACCGCAACCTGCCCTGCAGGAGGCATCGCCCAAGTCCAAGAATCTTTCGATCAAGGCTCGATGCCTGCGATGGCTGTGAGCTTGTATTCCGCTGCATCTCGCATGGAGTTCTGAGTTTGCCGTCAATTCATGCAGGAAGATGGTGCTACGTGTGAAGGCGGGCTTGCTGGATGAGCATCTCATTTGTGATTGCCCATTCGCCCATTGGCTGTGCAAGGCTACAAGTAGCGAGGTCATAGTTTGCATCGCCTTGAGTATTTCGAAGTCAACTTGAATTCGCGCGAACCTTTCTCCTTTGGCAGGTGCTTCCCGACCAGTGCAGGTGAGAAGGACTCGCGGCAGTCAACACGTGAATCGGATGGAGGATGTGCACTATCACGCTTTATATCAACTTGAATATCGACGTCAGCACCGCCAGCCAGGCGCGAGTAGTCTACTCCAGCACGACACCTGCAGAACGCGCACGTCCTGTATGTCTGTAAAATTTTAAAAGCCCAGCAGCTCTGCAAGCTGCTGCTGGCCCCTAAGGCCGTGGTGATGAGGATTGTGTAAGCTTGTTTCGCTGTTTGGTTCGGTGAACCCTAAGATTCGCGTCATTGATCGTTAGCGGTGTTTTGAGTTCATCTCTGCCGCGAAGGACGCCTACAGCAGAGCGGATCGAGGATGGCGGTTCGGCTAAATTTCTGGTCTGGCATGTGTTTGTTCCTCCCAATCTTAGAGCTCTAGCGTCACCTTGGCTCTAAGGTCCAGAGGAGGGCTCGTCAGACGAAGAGGCCCTAGCAGAAACCAGACTCGAGGCTCGCCCGGGGTTTTGTCCGTATGTTTGGCTTGGGGGGTTGGGGGATGCTACTTGGGATTGGGAGAGGTGTATGTTTTTAAGACGACGAGAGCAACAAGCAAAGGCAAACAGGCTACAGGTAAAATGGCAGTATCAGCAGATCAGACAGACGAAAAGAACACTTGCATACCTCGTTTTATGGTAGTCTGCAGCAGTACATCGTGTCAGATTGTCGTATCGAGTTGCTTCTAGTAGCATCAGAAGGTACGTCTACAAGACCGTGGCCTAACAGCTCGTAGCCATATACAGCGGTAGGTGCACTGTGTGCATACGATATACGTGTATATGTATGTGCATGGAAGCTCATAAAGCCCATCATACTAGATCATAGTCTACGAGGTTATTTCCTGTCCACATTGCATATGTTTACAGACAGGTTGACGGTGCACGGATTTTTGGAGCCACATTTTGTGTAGCGAACAAGCCCGGAAAAGAAAGTCCAAGGTCGCACGCGATCGTAGACGACAGCATAAGCCATATAGGGGCATGTGGAAGTATGTTCTCATATTCTGTAGTTAGTACAGAAATAGAATATATAAGAATACTCGAGGTCTAGCTGCAGAGCAAGAGCGCAGTCGAGTGCCGGCGCTGTCGAGTAGCAAGAGGTCTAGAAGTAGTGGTACTTGTCGAGACGGCTATTGATTCGGCTTTCGCGATTTGGAAGGCGGCCGGAATCAATTGTGAGATGAGTTGAGTTGTAAAGACGCGAAACTACCCGGAGCAAGTGCTTGTAGGACCTATGAGTGCAGTAAGGGCAACAGGCACTTTGATGAAGAGGTTGACCCAGAAGCACACAGAGATTTCCACTTCCTCTGTCCTCCACTCTCCTCTCCGCTCAGAGCGAGCTGATGTTGACGCTCAGCTCCCGAAAGCCACGTGGGCCGCGAGCCAAGTAGCGAGGGACAAGGCAGAGCGATCCCCGAGCTCACACTGCACACGCTCGATTTTGATTCTGGGTCACAGCCATTCAGGTTCGAGGTGGAAAGCGGGCATTTCTGGAATAAAGATGCCGATGATGACTGTGATGCTCCGATGACGATAATCACAAAAAACGATGGCAATGGCGGCGATGATGCTGGGGACGACATCGGCAATGAATTATGGTGGGTCGCGGGGGTATGTGGATGCAATTCTTCACGGTCATGGTGTTTGTCTGTTTGTCATGTCGATGCTGATGATCTGTTTCATCGTCAGAGTCGTTTTCGTTGCTGTGGCCATGGTCATGACGGCGCTGCTGTTGACAATGATGATGATTATAGAGACGATCATAACCCTCGTCCTTCACTTATCATTTGGTTTGCGCGTTTTCACTCGGACAGAAGCAACAGCAACAATAAAATTAAGAAGATATCCCACTGGTGCTACCACTAACACTACTACGCAGCACTGCCATGCCACCATCACCACCACCGTGGCCCGCCACCCTGACACCCTCACCCCTTGACCACCACTTCCACGACAGTACGAGCAGCCAGCAAGCACAACAACACCAGCAGCAATGGCAGCAGCAGCAGAACTATTTATAAGCTATGCGGAAGTCATGATAATCACAGTGAGATTGTCACTAGAAGCCCAGGTGGCTGTCCACTGCGGTGCGTCACAGCCAGGAGGCAGCTAGCCGGCCACATGAGGCTCTTCAGCTGATGCAAGCTGGGATCGTTTGTAGTTCATGGGTTTGGGGTTATGTTTCGAATTGTTAAGGCGAGAGTGGAGTGTTGAACATTTCGTTGAGCTCGTCCTCACAAGCTCGTTTCCGGGAAATTCTCTCTGACCTGTTCTTGGCAACTCCCACACCGCCGCGACCTCGCAACACGGCATCATGATGCATCACGTTCAGCTGCTGTTGGTAGTGCGATGCCACCTGTGCCCTGTGGCTGAAGGCTTCCTTGGCGCAGGAGGTGGGGATCCGACAGCGCTGGGATGCACAAAGGCAGGGACCAGTGGAATAAATCAGAAAGAAGGGATCACCTTCGCTGCAACTGCTTCTCCGGACGGATCCCATGCAATCAGACGTCTACGGTGCCCATCTTCCCCAGCTCTGCCCTATACTCGCCATGTTACGACCTCCACATGAGGTTCTCCTCTCGTTAGTCGCAAAGTTTCAGCGGGGTTCTTCGCGCCTTTCAGGCCGGGCACCTGCATGCCCATTGCGCCCTTGGAGCTGGACTTCATCTCAGGTGCCGGGCTGCCGAGCTGAAATCGAGCTTCATAACTTCGTTTTTTTTGCAGGTCCCCGAATGGGCGAGAAGATCGTGCTTTGCGAAAGAGCCGGGCCCACAGGAAGAACGACGCGGAAGAGTGTACCTATTGGTCGTCAGAGCCTCTCTGCTACTCGCAGCTCCAGGTCTGCACACTGGGCCGGGGTGAAGGCAATACCATCCAGGCGCAACGACAAGTGGGATGTTGTGCTGAAAGACCCTTCGAAGGAGGGTTCTCTGAGCCCCTTTTAGTGTGGCTTTCGAGGTCACGGACTCGCAGCTGACATCGGTGTCTCGCGTGCACTGCATCTTCGAGCTCCGGCCTCGGGACCCTCGTGCCCCAGGGGTTTGCGACAACTTCGGAATGCTCACGTAAAAGCCTTGCATAAACTCTGCACATGTCAATGGCTTCTGGGTCTCCGGCGAGAATACAGAGCCCAGGTTCTCCGGGAACCGATGGCGGATGCGAGACAACAGCTCGACAAACGGCCCTGTGCTCAGCTTTTGTGACACACCAAGCCGCTCAATCTAAACGGGTGTTTTGACACAGCGGGACTCACTGCGAAATGTTGCCACCTGCAACCCGTGTAGCATGCAGCAGCATGGCATGGGGCTGCCGTTGCCGTTGTGTATCTGCAACCACTGCAACCCATGTAGCATGCAGCTTTCGGGCACGGATCTGTTGTGGTTCGGCTTGTAGAAGCCACACCACAGTTCCCCTGCGGGAAAATCACATGTTCATTTGTCCTTCGTTGAGTCTTTCAGGTATTCAGCATTACAGCAGATCAGACCACTTCATCGATTGGGCGTGTGCCCGATGTTGCTCGAAGCAAAGTCGAAGCGAGGACGAAAGGACGCGCAACACGCAAACACTGGCTTGCGCTGGTGTGCGACAACTGTTAAGTAGCCGGCAAGTGCTGATTTCGAGAATGTATTGCTGGAGCTTGAAGCAGCTTCGCGATCTGGGGCTCGGTCAGGCGCAGCTAGAAGGGGCTCGGAATGTGGGCCTGACTTCCGTTGGTGGTTGTGCTTCACCATGAAACAAGCTCGGCACCATAAGTTGTCGGGCTCGGGCAGATCGTGCCCATAGCGGGATCGGCTTGAGAACTGAACAGGACGGAGCAACATCTGTTTGTGCTTCACCACATAATCCGGGGATTTGGGTCTTGTTCGTTACGGGTCGGTTTGTGCCAGTCAGCACGGTTCGTCAGCTTTTAACTACTGTAGGACATGTGGGATGGCTCCAAGACCCAAGCCCACTATGCCAAGATAAGCCCCTCCCATCACTGCCCGCTGCAGAACATCACACCTCAGGCACCTGGCGACGTCTGAGTTGCGTTTTGGAGCCCTCGGAGGCCGTGCCGGTGCACGGGCCGATGTCCATCCAGGCGCCTTGGAAGCCTCTCCTCATGATTATGTTCGATGCTGCTGCCATTACAACTGCTGTCATTCTGTTTACTACAATGTGACGACGGGATAAGACATGCCGACTGCCAGTGTAGTCGCGCCTTGATTCACCGTGCAGGATTTCCCATTCCCTAGGATAGGGCCCCTCGCGGGGCGCCCCGGTAGGTCCTAGGCCAGAGTGCCCGGTGGAACCGCAAAACTGTGGGAGAAGCCTAGGGTCCGCAACCCTTCTCATTTCGGGCAGTTAGGATGCCGCTAAACCCCAGGTAAGCCCAGCGAAACAAGCACTGACCGCAAAACTCCGGACATCTTTCAAAACTCAGGTCCATGGCAATTGTGTGCGTTCTTCTCGGGTTGACCTGCTGACATAGCCGGCTACGTCTCTAAAGCAATCATTTTCTGTACGGTGGTTGCAATGTCCTCTTTTGCGTTATTTGCAGTAGTCTATAAGATTCCACGAGTATTTGCACTGTTCGTAGTTTCCAGTATATGCAACATGCAAGCCTGCATGCCATGCATGCCTGCATGGGCGTTTGGGTGGTAGGGGTAGTATTCAAGTAGTGTTTGATAGCAAATGAATGAAGGGATAAACCAAGATCCTGCACGCACACATTGTATGTCTGTCTGTGATGATTCACCGGTCTGTGCACACTGGGCAGCTGGCTCGACAGATGCACAACTAGATAGGCCTCAATAGCTAGATCGACAGATAAATAGCTAGGGTAGATTAGATGGATAGTAAAAGCGAAGAAGTTTGGTGGATCGACAAAGAGGTGGGAAGGTCCAACGGGGCATGTCGCGAGGTGTCGGAGGACCCTTCATGGTAAGTTTTGGCAACTACTTCGTTGTTCTGCTCAGGCGGGCACGCATGAGTTCTTCGTGAAGCCCGCGGAGATGAGGCCTGGCCTTCCTTCGAAAGGATCGCGTCCAGAGTGCAGAGTTCAGGGCCCATTAGGGCCCACTACTAGTTTCGTGAGGGGCAACTTCAGAATGTGTTTTGCCTTTCCGTTTCTCTTATTTGTGGAAGTTTTCTGAACATTTTCTCGTCCTGTCTGGCAGGAGTTTTGACTGCATGGCGCGCTATCTTGAATTCTCTTGTGCAATCTTTTTGATAGGCCGCCGTCTCTGTGAAGTTACCCAGCAAGGGGCTTGATTTCCATTTGTTCCTCCTACGTTTCAACGGGGAAATCCATATTTATCAATTTTCGGAGTGTCTGCGGGGGCCGGAAATCCAGATCTTCGGAGGTCTACACTAGGGGTCGGCCACCCACAAGCGAAAAAAGCGAAAGAACGCATCAAGACACACTGGAATTCAATCGACAACATCCAAAACTTCATCATAAAGAAGCGGACAGGAAAGACAAGCATTCAGAAACAAGGCAGACACTTTAGCCGAACGTAATACATCCACGCAAACAGCCGGGGCCTTGCTCTGTACTCTTCGGACCTCTTAACGTCTTGACTGTTTGTCTGGCTTGGTTTGTCAAACTCTATCAAGGTGTCACGGCTGCAATGCCAGTTTCCTTGAACCCTAAATTTCTCTTGTTCGCGGCTCTTCTTCAAATGCCTGCCAACTCGAAACCTGTCGAAGGAACATTGAAAGGGGATGCTATGTGCATCTATCTGCTATGGTATCGAGCCTGATGTAGAACACAATACCGTGGAACAGCCGAATGCATCTTGGCCTGCATTAAGGTATCATCAAAGGTCTGCTGTACGAAAGCCGGCACAGAGCTCCAGAGCTCCACATCCTGAAGGGCCGAAGCAGCAAAACCCTTCCATGTAGGTCTGTCGTAGTTTGCCCTGCCCCAACCCTAAACCTAAACCCTAAACCCTAAACCCTAAACCCTAAACTTTAAACCCCCGGTGCAGGCAGTGCCTCATCCCCTCGCCTGGTCGCTCCATCCTCGAAGATGCGAACCTCTGAGGCCGATCCGCGGCCCCTACTCGTAGTTTGAGATCGGGGCAGGGCTGGTAGCCGCGTTTTAGCTGAGTGTGATGCGGCTCCTTCCGCCTTACGAGTCTTGTTGCATGTCATGGTTGGTTGATGAAGTGCTTCTTCTTCTTCTGGTGTCTTGTGCCGATGTCGCTACGGGAGGAAGCGTTCAACCCTACGCGCTAACAAACCCCAAACCCGGAGCTGTAAACACCAAACCCTGAAGGAGTGTCGGGTCGCACTCCCCTCCCCCAGAAATGCGGCGGTGCGGGTCATCCTGAAGCATCAACCAACCCGGAAACGCAGCACGGTTTGCCCCTGATCCCATACACCATAGCCGACGACCCCCCGGAAAGTCAGGAGGTCGTCGTGCAGATGACTGACTGGCCCTAGCTGGTCATGGACGAGGTTGCCGGCGCGATTCCAAGTTTTTGAAGTGAATGCGCCTTGGCTCACCGGGGGTTCAGGTTTAAGTTTCCAAGCCTTCAGGGCGAGTTATTGTAGCAATGAGCGGTTTAACATTTACAGGTATGTTGGGTGCCCGCCGCTGCACACCTTGCTTCGTATGTGGAAGCGAAAGCATCAGCAGTCTCGCAGAAGATCGGAAACGAGAACGAGGAATAGCAGCTTAGACAGCAGAGCTGCCAACAGCATGATCAAATTGTGGCTTTGTCAGCAGAATCAGAATCACCGGTGATGCAAACAATAGCAGGAACATTATCACTCAACAGCGGTGCTACCTACAATACCGATGGCAATACAAGGAAAACCGTTGAGGACGAAGTACAATTATCCATGTGGGCAATGGCACTGCCCGCAATCCTGCTAAGTGTAACATCTTGGCACCATGGTCTGTGCAATCACGAGTCCGACTCCCTTGTGACCTGTACTCGTGGTAGTGGTATTGTGGTGGCACGGGCAGTCGTAGCGACAGTATTTTAGAAGAGTGTTTTGGTGTTTTGCTCCAGCATCCTTGTCCAGTGGGGTGTTCGAGCCCGAAGGGCGAAATTGAATCCTCGTACGAGGCAGTTGGCCCAAAAGCTTCCCAGGATTCTCAGGCCTTAGGCCCCACCAGGGGGTAACACCGAACCTGGCGCCGTCTGTCTCCCAGTTTGCTGTGCCCGGCATAGGCCGGCGTAGCATAGGCGTTGATCGGCCTTCGCGTCCCTTGGTTACCGTAAAACCCCAGCCCCAAGTGCATCCTTTAAACGCGACAATCCACGAGACTCAGCCTTGACCAACTCCTGGCAACATGTGTGGGACGCGAAAGCTGAGAATCCCACTTTCCAGCAGTGCCGGTTGTTGGGGCTTACGGATTTTGCCAGGCTCGTTTTCTGCTGATCTGGTTTTGCGAAGAGTTGAAGAGTTATGCCTGAAGCAGCCGCCGCAGCTCCAAGTGACCACACACGCCTGTTGACCTTTCTCCGGCAGGGCTTGTGCTGTCCGCGCTGTTGCCTCGTAGCTGAAGAGAATGGCGCTGCTACCGGTGATGATGATGGAGACGCTGACGAGGATAATGACGAAGAGGAAGGCTAATACGGCGATGAACGTGATGACGTCCTTAATGGCGTTGATGGTGATGATGGCACTGGTGACTTCGATGATCATGATAGTGACGGTGAGTATCATGATGAATGATGGCGGTGATGATGATGACGATGTTGATACTGATGGCGATTGCGACCAAAGAATGATGGAGACGATTATGGTGGTGATAATGGTGATCATGATAGCGATGGTGAAGAATCATATGGACCAGGGTAACGAGTGTTGGTGATGATCTTGATGATGATGACTATGACTATGACTATGACTATTGATGGGGCGGCAGTACCAGCATAAATGATTCATCACGACAGTGGCAATAATAATAACATTGTTGACACGGGTGAAAGTGCTCAATAGCATGATAATGGCGGTGTAAGTCATCTTCATAATCGTGTTGCTAGTGGTGATGGTGATGGCGACGGGGGTATTGACGACGGTGATGATGACGACGCCGCGACGGCGATCATGATGATGTTGGTGACGGTGACAACAACGGCAGTGTTGTTGTTGTTGATGATGGTGATGTTGTTGACGCAGTCTTCGTCGCCGTTGATTGATGTCGATGTTGATGCTTGGTTCAATACTTCATAGAATCATGTCAGCTTCGTGAAGTGCCGAGACGGTTGTCATCTAGCGGCAATGGGTCCTAGATCCGCACATGTCGGCCAGTCCAGCCATGCGGCAACAAGAAAGGGAGAAAGACAGAGACAGAAGAGAGAGAGAGAGAGTAAGCAAAGCAAAGCAAAGAGAGAGCGGAACAGTGAGACAGAGGGAGAGTGAGAAGAGGGGGAGACTGAGCGAAGGAGGGAGGGGACGGAGAGCTCAGCGGGGTAAATTGTAGTGAGGGTCTGAGTTTTAGCTTGAAAAGGACGGGACAGTGGAGGCAGCGTCGCTGTGCGAGAAAGCTTTGCCGGCCATGCATTTCTCAAAGAATCGCGTTCCTCTTGAGCAGCGAGCGAGCGAGGGCCTCATGCAAATCCAGGGACCCTCGGGACCTAGCGCAGTCGAAGGCCTTCACTCGCTGCTGATTAGAAATCTGCCTCAGCGCGGAGCGGCAAAACCGATGCCAAGTTCTCCAGCAGGAAAGTTCTCAAGCATCTCAGCACCGCAACGGCGGCTTTGATTTCGGCTCAGAGCAACGGAGTCGTAGGCACCCCTCAGGAATAAACGCTGCCCCTGCCCCACAGACCCAGCCTGGCCCAGCCTCCGCCGCCTTGGAGCGCCCCCCATAGCCTCCCCGTTTGCGCCGACAAGCGAGTCGGCAGGAGGCGATGTATGGGCTCGGGCCCCAGGGGTTCAAGGGTGCATCCAGTGCATTCCTTGATCGCAGCCTGCCTCAGGCTCAATGCGATTCTGAGCCGCAACTCCTACGTGTCCTGGGGCAATGGTCGGGTTGGGGGCCTGGTGCGAGGGCCGCAAGGGGCGGTAAAGCACTTGAAGCACTTGATCTTTGATCAAAATATCCAAGCCCCGAACCTCGGAATGCTGACAGCCAGCCTACGCGCTGCTGCATAGCAGTCCACGTCATCCTACCAACATCTGGTCTAGTTCCTTCAAACCGAGACTCCAAATACGAGGCACGAAGTTGATCCAATCTTTTCTGTCCCCCCCGGTTTTTGAACCTGGGAGTCCGAAGGGCCCGTCTTGGACCCCGGTGTCAGAGTGCCGGAAGATCGTCCCTGGTCAGGATTTCATCTTTACCGGCAATCGAGACTTCCAGGGCGGCAGGCAGTGTTGGCTCCAGGCAAAGCATGTCTTCCTTCTTCCTGCAGGTCTCTGTCATGCTGTCGATGTTCTTGTTACTACGATAATTGCGATCACTGCCGCAACGACTGCTGCTGATGCAATTTCTGGACCACATTACGCTACAGGCACGGTGACGATGACGACGACTTTTTGTTACTACTGGCGGTGGCGACGACATTGACGGAATCGTTTTGCTCGTCTTATCCTGCTGCCACTGCTGGTTCTACCCCTGCTGTTTCAGGTGTCACAGTAAATAGCTGTTGACCTAGTTCTGGTCTTTACATCTTATGGTCGATTTCTTAATGGCTCTGGCCCACATTGTTGGCATGCAGATTGCTATGTCTGTACTACGCTGATTTTCGGGCTTGGTGTTCAAGCAAGCGAGGTTATTTGTTTCTTGCATTCGTCTGGCGGTGCTCCACTGTTCTATGCATGATTATCCTCATGATTACACCGCTGCAGCGGTGCTTATCAAGCATCCTGCCGCCGCCGCCACCGCCACTGCCACCGCCACCACCGCCACCACTACCACCGCCGCCGCCACGCCAGCAGCAGCAGCACCACCCAGCGGCACCAGCAGCACCGGCTGCAGCAGCAGCAGCACCGCCGCCACCACCGCCAGCACTGCAAAATGCTTCTCCAAGGTTTCAGAAGAACTAGACTAGCTAGACTTATGTTTTGGGGTACATTCTACTAAACTCGAGGAGGGAGGACTGAGGAAATTCTTTTACTCGTCAGGCCCTTATACATTGCATTCTAACAGCTTAAAGTTTGGTTGGTGGTTTAGGTCTGGCGCTGTAGGGGTTTCTACTAAAGGGGCTTCGGGAAGCCAGCAGTTTGGCTGAAGAAAAGAACACATTAGCAGTGTTTGCAAGCATGAAGTGTGGCAAATAGCATGAATCGTTGCCTTGAGCGTTCTTCATTCTCAAGCGCCGTTTTCCCTCCGCCCACGTAGTCCACAGGATCCCCCACCATTATCTTCATCCTCACCATCGTCCTCCTGATCATAACCATCACCATCACCATGCCATCGTTGGCTTATGCAGTGATGCTAACTTGCTGTTTGTTGCTCCCACGACCCACCCCGACTCCGGATGTCTGCCTGGGCCCCCACGATTGTGTCCTGAGCAACAACCTGTAATCACCCTGGACCTACCGAACCGCTCTGTCGCTGGCCAGCACGACGGCACCAGCTCAGCGCCAGTGGCGAAGCCCCGCCCCCCAGCGGTGAAGATGCTGTCGAAGGGCACAGGCCGAGATGCAAGTCCACCAGCCATCATCAGCTCGGCATTGCAGGTTTTCCGTGAAGGGATTTGGAGCTTCCATTCGGGAACAGCCCGAAACCCTGTCATGAATATGAGCCAGTCCTGAGATGCACTCAATAGTCAGGTTCTGGGGCTAATCATGACAGGCCATGACCATGCGAGCATGCAGCCTGTCTGGTGGCTCCGGAGCTAGATATCTTTCTGCACAAAGGGCGTGAGATGGGCAGAGTACACTCAGTCGCCCCGCCTGCAGCGCACCACTGCGATTTTCAGATGTGGATATTGCTCCTGGTATTTACCACATCGCAGTCAGAAGCGAATTAAATGGCTGATTGGTTGTTCCTCCCTCGCACCGATTGATAAACTGGTCCGGAAAAAGCAGACGCCTTCCCAGTTCTGGCCTCGAGGCTTTCAGTTGTAGCTTTGGCCCAGGCTTAACTCGAACTGCATTTTACCCGGACTTACATCCGATACCTCGCATTGCCTGAACTCGAAGAAGGCTGCAGTCTTTGGCTTACAGGTCCTCTGGCAGGCAGTCGCCGGAAGCTTGAGCAATCGGTGGAGACTTGTCTGCAATGGTCCCATGGCACGACGAGCCAGAGCAAAGACCTGTACACACATCTAGGTGATAAATGCAGAACAGATACACCGAAAGCACCTAGATCAGACCGGTGCAGACAGATGGATACGACAAGCAAGCAAGTGCGAACATACCTGCATGTGTGTGTGTGTGGGAGAGATTATGTATGCAGACCTATGCAGGCATGTCATTACACATCCGTGCATCTATGCATCTGTGCATTTGTTGCAGGTGGGTTGCTATTGTGAGGGCCTGGATAAGGCCTTGAAGCCTCGCTAAAGTCGATCCACTCAGCGTCACAGTAGACCGACGTGGATGCCCGGGATGAGCCGGCCAACCCCATGCCCGAGAACCTTCTGGCCCGACCCGAGGAGTACTGGCGATCGCTGGGTCGTCACGACACCATGGAGGATGCTTCGCAAATTTCCACAGTCCATGATGCCATGACTAGCGTCAGGAGGTTTGAGGATCCCAGCTTGAAGATGCAGGCTTTGCCCATCCAGCTTTGTGCAAGCTTCAACCAAAGGCTTATTCGCAAACGCATAGGACGGGTATATGATGATCTGTGCCAGGACGCTTTTGTGGATGCGGCCATCACGAGGCACGGAGAATCAAGCCATTCTTTTGGTTTGTGTAGGCAGGGGTGAGGCTGCAATCGGTCAATGATGGAGTCGCTCTCAATGGGCATCCATGAACGTCGCAGGGTGATGCAAAAGCCACGTCCGCAGAGCGCCATCGCTCTGAGCCCGGCATGTGCGCATGGGTAAGCTTGGAGGCGTCTCTTTGAACACGGAGTGACACCAAGGCCACCAGGCGCCCGACACCGCGGCCCTCGAAAAGGCCTGGCCCGATGGGCGGACGGGCGCGGCCGAAGTGTGCGGTTTGCTGTTTGGAGGCCCGAGAAGGCATCGCCTTGGGCAGCATGGCAGAAGGTGCAGCCCGAGGACTGCGATTGGGAGCTGTGTGCAATCGGGTAGAAAACTGCGGACGTAAAGAGAAGCCGAGATGCCTTGCTGCGTTGAATCTTACCATTCACTTAGCCCCATGATTTAAGCAACTCGTCTGCGATCGCGTCGGGCGGAAACCGTGTTATTGGAACGGACAGCGCCATCCGATGCTCCAGCAGTCGAGTGGGCTAGATCACCGCCAGGAAGCGACCCTGTCGGTGCAGCTGCCTGCTTTGCTTTTGTCTCACCGGTTGTCCTAGCCAGCGGTTTGAGTTCGGAACTGCATCCCGTTCCGCAGGGTCTCGGGGTATGTGCCATCCTCGGCCTTGCTTTTTTGGGTGCAGACAAGGAGGGCCAAGAGAGGTCCAAAGGCGCTTCTCGCTTCAGGCCGCTGCCCACGTCGGCAGGGGCGGTCAACGAAGATCGCGACAACGGGGAAATCAGGGCTGGCCACTGCCATCCACTGCCTTTCCACGCGACATGAGCCCCAGAGAACCGGAGTGCATCGGACAGTTCTTTGCCAGGCTGTGAGCACGGCGACGCCACTGCCGGAGGCATGGCACTTGTGGGGTGAGGGGTACCGGGTGTATGTGGGCAGCCTTAGTGTGTTTTTGCATTTTCAGGCTGCGCATGGGAGCTTGCGTAGCAAGAACAGTTAGAACTGTTCATGATCCTTGTACGGTGAGATGATGTAGCCGAGGCTTGCACCATGAAGAGCCAAGTGCAACGCGTTCAAACTTCAAACTTAGAGTTTCGAGGTTATCCACGGCCACAATCGAAACCTTAAAATGTTGAAGTCGCATCCACGGAAAATCTACTACATTGACTTTTAGATACGAGCTGAAACCTTTCTCTGCTACCAGCCAAATTGATGGAACACACCTCGTGCAAGTTAGGACTGCGCGATATGAGGAAGACAGAGTGTCCACGACAAAAAGACAGAGAGCCTTAGCCAGAGAAATTCAGATCGCAGCCAGTGGAGTGGCGGCCAGTGAAGTTGTAGCGAAGGTTGGGGGCAAAGGGAGGCACGAAACTATGTTTCAGACTCCACAGAGCTAGGAGCTCAAGCCAGAGCTCTTCAGCCGTTTGCCGCTGGCTCATGGAACGTTGGAATTTGTGGCTCTGAGGGTCGAGGACTAGGCAGGGTTAGATGACATCAGGATCAGCAGGGTTTTGTATGGTCAAGTCGCCCCACTCAGATGTTGTTCGGTGACGCAGTGCTGCTACAGTAGATTTCCCAGCTTGAGAAGCAGCCGCCGCAGTGCATTGGATGCTGTGAGATGTGCCCATGCGTGCACAAGCAGTGCATGGGGAGACCCCGTCAGCTTGCTATGCAGGAACACCTTGCCTCGGTGTGCCATCAGGGAGTCCTTGTGTCCTTGTGCGTGCTAGGCATTAGGTCTGTGTTCCGATGTGATTCTCTGAGGTCTCGGTCCACACCCTCGCTTTCATCCGGCCCGATGTGAAGGCTGCGCAGAGAGCAGGAGACGTCTCCTAAATGCAGAGGGGAGGAGCGGAACTTACGAGAAGTGAGCCATGGAATGTCATGGATAACTCCTTGCAGAGACCTCGACTTATTGCCCGGCCTCTGCACTCGGAATTTCCGTTGCCAGTCAGCCGAGGGAGCCTTGACCACACGAGACCACCTTACTTCTGCCAGAGCTCAGGGAAGGTTCGGCACCAAAGGCACGAGGGCCCAAGCGACTGGTCAAGGCTCCCGTCGCGTATGCGATCATGATGCCACGCGTTTGATCCCTGCTGAATGACAATGCCGTAGATATCCGTAGGTCAGCTGCGGGCGGCCCGGTTTCGCGAACGAGAGAGAGAGAGAGAGAGAAGTAGGTAGATCTTGGTTCAAGCCTTCCATAGACGGTGTGACGAGACGGTGTGAAACCAGCAGTTCTATGTAACCCCCAGGACGCAAGTCTTGAGTTTGAGAGGGAGAAAGCTGCACCGCGAAGCTTTTGCCTGGAGCTGTCTATGACCTAAGTGCTTTAGAGGGAGGCCAGGTCTCAAATCTGCCGTCGATACTCGTCGAAAAGCCGTGAGCTCTCAAGTCCTGGCCTCCCGATTGCGTAGCTGTGATGGTGAGATAGTCTTAGTGCCTCCTAGCTTTACAGGTCGTTAGTGAAAGAGTGTCAGACCTGGCTGCTGTCGTGCAAACCTCCTCCAGCTAGAAGCTGCAGACAGAGTGTCGCCACAAATTGTGTGTTTTTGCTGGAAGTCCGAACACTTCAAGCATGCGATGCTTGGCTCTGTCCGGTCTGACACTGCCGTCGTCGGTTGGGCGACCTGTGGCCATTGCTCTGAACATTCAGAGAAACGGGTTTTTGGTGCGCAGACGCAGAGTTCGGACAGCACTGCTTGCGAAGGGATCCTAGGCCGGGAACCTACCGGTGCAGGGTGTTCGGGCTTAGATTCTGAGAAACTGTTATAGGGTCGCTTGTCAAGTGGCACCCCGAAATCTTGAATCTTAAACACCACCTGGAGCCAGCCCTTACGTTCCACGTAGACTTTGAGGGTGCTCTAGATGGGCAATGCCTTTTTGGCCACTGGATGCCTCCCTGTGTGCCCTTTGCAGCAAGCCGGGTCGGAGCGGACGATAAGAGCCACGGGCGACAGAGGAAGAGCCACGTGCAGCAAGGCAGCGAGAGCTGGTCATGTGTCTTGCATAAAGCACGATTTGTTTTGTTGTGATCCAATGAGCTGGAAGCCTTCGGTGTCGCCATGTGGTTCAATCCCGACCCCACCTTGTCGTGCAGCGGGGGCATTTTCTCAACCGATCCTTCTAACTCGGATGGCTCTGGCAACCAGCAGAGTATGATATACAGCACCGTCACATGGTAGTATTCTAGTCATTGGATAGTAGTATTAGCTATGCGAGAAGGAATTGTCTGAAGAGTGCAGGTGCAAGGAAACTCCTGGTCGTTGCAGCCATCTGCGGATTTTCCGCGAAGCCTTGCCAAAGGCAACATCGCTGTGCAGAGCACGGCCCGGCTGATCCGATGACCCGAGCAGGAGCCCGCCCGTCCTAGGTTTTGATATTGAATCCCGCGAAAGAGAACCCGAGCCCTTGAGAGAAACGTCGGATGGGCCGGGCCTGGCTGCGCTTCATGATGCGCATGCTCATCCTTCCTAGCACGGTCACAAAGACAACCCACGATTGGCGGTGTGGCCCCGTCGCTTCAAAATGTCTCAAAACACGGCAGGCGAACTCAGCCGTTCAGTCCCTCAGGCGTCAGACCGGGGAAGGGTGCTGAGTCCGACATTAATTCGCGACTCGATTGCGAATGCGTGGCGCAGCATTCGCTGATCCACCGGCTGCAGCAGTTTCTGCTTCAGGTCATGGCATGGCTGTGGTGGGCACCACACGACCTGCCGTGGACACGGGAAGCATAGACTTTCCCTTCACACTCCCATGTCTTTTAGTGCCTTCTTGTCGTGCATTCTCCGTGGCTCTCTGCTTTGGCGCTTCGTGCTGAGCACGGACAGTGGCTACTTTGAAGCCTGCGCTGGCGTCCGCTTCCGCGCGCACGGAGCGAGGCCTCACATGCCGATGCTGCGGGCTCCGAGCTTCTCGACACGAGCAATTCATCGACCCCCTTTTGCTCGGATGGTCAGGGTGTGCCGATCTGGGCGAAGGATCGATTTCACCAGGATTTTTGCTGTCCGCACGATGCCGAATGGTGCGCCGGCTGTGGCCGGGCCACCGTCGGAGGAGACTGGCAGTGGTTTGGGAAGCAGGGGTTTGGCCAAGGCCATGGCGTCAGGGGATGCGGCCTGCAAGAAGCTCTTCGTGGGTCAAGTAGGAACTATGCCTGGTTCCCCCTGTTCCTGTTGGAGTACAGTGCTGTAGATTGCAACAGCAAGGAGATTGGTGCGCCGAGTGCCTCGACGGCTTCGCTCAAAACGAAGATGGTGTGTGCCAGCCGTGTGGGACGACGAAAAGACAATAAGGATCCAGACAGCCAAGCATGCAGGCCAGCCAAACACGCGCAGCATCACAGCAAGCTGATTCCCTGAAAGGTATGGACTTGCCGGCCTGGTCTGATCCCGAGGGCACGAACTGCTTCGCGCTGGAGCAGTCCAAGTGCAGCGACGATCGCCAGGGCCTCAGACTTCATGGAGCAGACCAGAACATCAGCACCACTGAAAGGATGCGGGATGCAGGCGTAGTTGCCACAACTGTTAAGATGCCACGCACGCCCGTGATTCGTCCCGAGTGGCATGCACGTCATGGGCGAAGCTGAAGGCTTCCATGGCCTCTCAAGCAACGTCGCCTGCTGCAAGTGTCGTGGTGGCGGCCTGAAATCGCCCACGCCCTTTCGTTACTACGTGGAGCCCCTGGTGTCCGGCTCAGGCGCACTGTCGGTACGTGTGCTAGGGCAATTACCAGAACCCTGTTCCGGCCCTGTTCCTGCTGTAGGCCTGGTGAGGGGCTTTCCTCTGCCGCGGACGGAGCCTCTCGGTTGCTAAAGTTGGGGCAGAGGTCCTTCGCACTGCGCGCGTGTGAGAGGTCCAGCTACTCGGTCTGGAAGGTGGTGGAAGATCGTGCGGACCAGCAAGGTTGCTTCACTTGGACAGTGTCGAGCCAAATGCAGGCAAAGCACTCAGTGTGGCCTCTTTGCCACGTTTAGAGACGGCTGCAATTTCCTGGCCCCCTGCGGCTTGCCAAAAGCAGACGACTGCGTGCAAGATCGCCAACTGCAGCACGGAACACACTTGTTTGGTCGTTCGGCCGCAAAGGCGACACAAAGTCTCAAGGCCCATGAGCCTTTGGGGAAGAAGAGAAACGACGAAGAAGACCATTCATACGCATCCCATCTGGTTGTACCAGGGTGTCTACTGTCCCAAGGGCCGGGCGGTCGATCCTTCCACGGGAGAGCAGGTGGGCTTCACCTACCAAAAAGCCGGCCTGACGGCTGAAGGGTCTTTCTACTTGCAGCCCGCAGAGGCAGACCCTGACCATCGCTGCAAGAACGGCACCTTGGTGCTCATTCGCCCTAACCAGTCCTGGGACTTTGACAACTCCACCTCCCAGGTCCTTGAGCTCCACGGCGAGAAGCTGGCATGCATCGGACTGCCTTCTGTGAGCGGCAGCGTGGTCGATCAGGTCTTTACTTGGGGCGAAATGGTTTGGCAGATGAGATTCCTTGGCGAGGAGGAGAAACTTCGCACCAGTCTCACTCTCGAGAGCCCCAGCTGCGGCCTCGAAGGTCTCAACCTCACCGTGGACGACGCAGAAACGGAGCTGAGCAGTGCGGAGGCGATGCTCATCGATGACCCGAGCACTTCGACCCCGAACGACTACAGCCTGCACCCCTGCGAGTGCTTCCCGGAGTCCTGGGGCAGCTCGCGTGCACAGCGCAGGGTGCAGAACTTCAGAACCGTCAGGGGGGTCGGCACTTAGAGAAGTGATTAGTGCGGTAGCTCCGGGCAGCAGGGCTTGACGAAGTTGTAACCAAATTTGGTGAACTGTTGGAAGCACCTTCTCCATGTGGCTTGTTTCCTCGAGACAGTTGCTTCTTGAAGCTTGAGCGATGTTGTTTGCATTATTTCGAGCTCGTCTAAAGCCGGTCCTGTCGTCTTCTCATGTCACGTTGGGATGGCATTTAACCCCTGGCTCCTAAAGCTGAACCTCGATCACTCGTGCGATTGCGGACTGCTGCTGCTTCAGAGTTGGCTGACCTCGCTCTGCAAAGCTTCAGGAGGTGTCGTCAGCCGGAACCTTAACGTTTATGCCATACGTCATAAAACATGATTCCGCCAAAGACTTCCATTCGACAACCTCTCCCGAGCAGTGAAGGTGCGCATGCATGAGCACACGGCCCGTCAGATACGCTCAGGTCCGCTTGATCAGAGGAAGCATTCTGCTTCATGGAGCGTTTCACTTTGCATGACCTTAACACATTTCAGCTTGCGGTGTAAAAGCAGGGTTTGCGCTGCCAGTGCGTTCTTCGCACTGGTAGCGGAGCTGCCTGGTTAGCTCCGAGCCATGGCTGTGAACGGTGGCTCTCGCGACTACTGGAGAGATGATGAAATAGTGGTGGACCGCGATGGGATTCCCCATTTCACAGGGGCGGCCCCACAGCTGATGCGAGAGTACAGGCGCAGAGTTCTCTTTGCCTTCAACAACCTGGAAGGCAGCGGCGACGATGAAGAGAAAGAGCGGAAGAGCTTGGCCAAGAAGAAGAAGCGTTTCGGGAGGAAGCTCCTGGATGCCTTGCATGGAGAGGCCTTCCGGGCCTGCCAGGACCTGATGTTGGAGGCCGAGAAGCTCCAGGAGCCCGAGGGCTACAAGCTCATCTTTGCCAAGCTCCAGCAGATCGAGAAGGCGGGCGTCATCAAGAAGACCGAGGCCTTCGACCAGTACTTTGACAAGTGCTTCCGGAGGAAGGGGCAGTCGATTGACAGCTATCTTCGCCAAAGGAAGCAGGACTGGAGCGATCTACAGGATGTCGCCGAGGGAGTGACCATGAGCGAGGAATTGCAAACCTACTTCCTGCTGAAGAACATCGGCCTCAGCCGGGAGGATAAGAGGCAGATCTTGCTCGCCAACCAGAGCGCCTACACCATGGAGGGCGTCGAGAAGGCACTTCGTGTCAGCTTTTTCGACGTGCATGAAAGAGAGAAGCGCGAGTGGCAAGGCAATGCAAAGCCCAAGGGCGGCGGAAAAGGTTTTGGACGGCGCCACTTCGCCCACCCCGTCGAGGACGAGCCCGAGGAGTACTTCGCCGAGCCCGGCCTTGACGACTACGACGACGGCGGCCAGCAGGACTATGCCCACGTTGTCGTGGACGAGAGTGCGGAGGCGGAAGCCGAGGTCTCCGATGCCGGGGCCAGTGGTGACGAGGAGGTGTTCGAAGCCTAAGCCAGCTACAAGGACAGCCGGCAGAAACTTAAGGACCTTCAGCGTTCCCGAGGTTTTCTTCGACCACGGGAAGGCAGCAGCGGCATGAGCGAGGAAAAGAAGCAGGCCATTGCCCGAGAAAAGGCCCGCAGCCGTTGCGCAGCGTGTGGTCGTTTGGGACATTGGGCAGGGGACAGCGCCTGCCAGAAAGGGAGCGCAGGAGGCAAGAAAGGTTCCAAGAAGGGTCGTGGAGCAGACCGCGGCCAAGGCAAATCAAAGGGCGCCGGGAAAGCCTATGCCGTCTTTCAGGAGCCCCGCTTCTTTAGCCTGGAGAGCCTCGATGACGATGCCGACGGCTTCTGCAACATGGTCGCCCCCGACCTCGAGGAGGACACCGAGAAAGGGAAGATGGAGCAGGACAGCGGGTACACCGAGACCGACGACAAGCGGAAGATAAGAGATAGCCCCGGCTCCTCGAGCAGTGGCTGGGAAGAAGTGTGCCCACCTCCTTTTCCGAGCGGTGGCGATGGAGGCGGCTACGGGCGGCTGCCGCCCGACCTTTTGCCAGTGACGGTCCCCGACCACAGCCCGAAGAAGGACAGTCAGGAGCTGGTGGTCACGGTGCCCCGGGACAAGATCGAGGTGAAGAACGTGACCAGCTACCGGGACGTGATCCCCAAGAGCATTGCCCAGCTTCGGCTTCGAGAGCTGCAGTCCGACTGTGACCGATGGCAAGTGCAATCCGCCGGCAACAAGGCCGTGCTTCAGCGGCTGTTGCGCCTTTACCGTGGCGAGCCCGTGCTCAAGAGAGGCTGCACCACCCGATATGTTCAGCACGCGAGCTCACGGCCAAGATTGCGGAGGAGACTCCGAGCAGCAGCGGCACGGCGGCCCCAGTCACGAAGGCCAGGGCGAGGACCACGGCGATTTCGGACACGACCTCTGGAGTTGGGAGTTGCATATTTCGAAGTTACGGAAAGGAGGGCCCAACGACCTATCCGAGGACAGTGGCGGAGAAGATGGTCGATCCGCGGACTGGCCTGGAGATTCCGCCTAATTTCTCGGGCCCCAAGAGCTGTCGATTTGCCTACAACGTGGACGAAGGTCTGGCGAAGCACGCCCAGGCCCGAGCACGACAGCCGTGAGGCCGAGACGCGGGAGTTTTCACCTTCTTTGCCCGAGCTTGACTATGGCAACGGCAAGGGAGCAGCATGGTTCTGGAATTCAGGGACCGATGGTGAGCCCAACACCCTCGACAAAGACACCGCGCACTGTTTTCAGAATTTGTTTGAGAATTCGTTTTGCAACATGGCCGGCTCCAAGACGGGGCGGCGCAACCTCGATGAGGAAGAGGGGCAGGTGAATGAGGCCAAGGTCGCGCTGTTGGATACGGCATGCACTTCGTGCTTGCATTCAAGGAGCTGGAGGGAAATGTACTCACAGACCTTGCCAACAGGAACCAGGTGCGAGGAGACCGCGACCCGGAAGAGCTTCCACTTTGCCAACGGAGCCAGCACGAACGACAAGCTGGTGGTCTGGAGAGTGCCGATATACCTCGGCGGCTTGGCTGGAGAGGTTTTCTCGGCCGAAGTGAATCAAGGCAGCACCCCTTTGTTGCTGTCGATCCCGGCCCTGGACGCCCTGGACGCAGTGATGCACATGAAGGCCCGCCACGTGGAGCTCAAGGCCCTTCAGCTTGACGTGGAGATGCTCGTCACCAGGACCGGGCACTTAGCAGTGGAAGTCGCTTATAACCCCGAGCTCCCGAAACCCAAGGCAAGAACAGACAGCGCTGGCCCACCGAGAGCGCTATCTGAAGTTGCGGACCTCATGGTCTACTTTGCCGAGGAAGCCGAGTACCCGCTTCTTTGTCAACTGGCTGCACCCGACCCAAGTGCCTTTGCGACGGTGGCCGTCCAGAAGCGGGTGCCTATGCTCGGCCCACGGGGAGTTCGCCCCGGTGATGTTCTCAGAGAGCTGCCTGCCCGAAGGGCCCAGGAACTGCAGAGGAACGCCGGCCGAGCACGACGGCGAGACCAGAGGACCTGGGCAGCGGTGAGAAGGAGCTATTCTTTGGCAGAGCAGTTCTGCACCAATGGCTTCCGGGACTCGGTCATCTACGAGCCCTTTGCCGAAACCTTGGCCCTGACAGTTCTGGCGGCCGAGGACCATGGATGGACCTGCACCCAGCCAAGCTACAACCTGGACGGTTATGATGTGACGTCGGTGCCCAGCAAGGAGCTCCTTTCGAATGTCCTGGAGAAGCACCGGCCCTACCTCGTGGCGATCCTTCCTTCCAGCCGCCTCTGGGGGCTCTTAGAGGAGATCGGCGGTGAAGTTTCAGCCGAGACGGGTGCCCAACAAAGAGGCACCAAGGTCCTACAGCTGATTCGTTGGATCTGCCGTGAACAAACCAAAGCCGGGAGATATTACTTGATCTCCGGCCCGGTCAGCTCCAAGGCCTGGCGTTTTCGAGGAATTTTGCAGAAGGCGGCGGAGATGGGTGCCGATATGGTGCCAAAGAGCGCAGTCGCACCGGCTGGTTCAGCAACGCCGAGGCCCTGCTGAATCGAGTGGCCAAGCGCTGTTGGTGCCCGCGAAAGGCGCACGCCCAGGAGAAGGGGACAGGCCCTGCGCGACGGTCCCTTCCAAAGAAGCTTGGCCGAGAGATATGCCAAAGGCCTTTTGGACACCATGCGGCTGGACTATGCCGTGGCCATGTCTTACCAGGAGGGTGCCTTTTGGACGGACGCGGCCTACCCCGTGGACATGGAGCTTGACGAGGACGAGGCCGACGAGGACTTCGAGGAGGTGTGGGAAGATGAATGGAGATTGGAGCCTGATGGGCGCATGGTTCGGATACACCGGGCCAGAGGAGGAAACTTCGCGTGCCCCTCTCCTCGACAGCCCCGCCTTGTCGTTTTCAGGACATCCTGGGGAGGCGGCGCGCAAGGATGCTGCTAGCAGATGGGACGCGCCGAGAGCACGAAGATGACTGGCACCAAGCCTCGTGGGACCCGAGCGGCGTGGTCAATGGACTTCACCTGGACCGGAGAAACGGAGTTTCAGTTGGCTGGTTCTCCCCTGGGCCCTTCTAATGGCGGCGCGGACCCCGGAGAAGACAGCACACAGAGACCACAACCACCACCAGATCAGGGGTCCAATGTGGGCGAGTCAGCGATGCCTTTTGACTCCGCCGCCTACGAGCCCAGCGAAGACTATGAGCCAAGCGTACCAGATCCTGATGCACCACAAGTTCCTTTACCGCCCGGCTATGGTGAGCAGAGCTTAGTTGAGATTTCAGCGGACGCCGGAGAAGGCACACAGAGACAACAACCACCACCAGATCAGAGGGTCCTTCGTCGCAGACAGAGAACTAGGCAGCTGCAGCGTGGCTTCTGGTCTGAGTCGTCCCACGAAGAGACCGTACAGTTGCTCGAGGGGACCCTTGACTACATCCAGCAGGAGGGCACAGAGGGCTGGAACAAGATCAATCTCGACAGCGACCTGGGGAAGGCGTGGGCCTCCTTGGAGAGCGCCAGTGCCGATGTGACCTTGATCCTTTGCTCCACTAGTGCCCGGCGACTTAAGAAACCACAACCACATGCTGGTCCCCATGAAGTTCCTTTGCGGAAGTCTTTCGTACTACTTGGTGGTGGCACGGCCCTGACCACGGACTGGGAGCAATGGTACTCGATGTCACCCTCAGCACAGATCAGGCCGATCGTGGCAAGAGGCCGCCGACTCTATGTGGCAGTGTTTGGCAAGGAGGTCGGCGAGGCCGAAGGCGAGCCCGAGCCCGACCGGCTACAACAAAAGGAGCAGGCGAGAGATCGGCAATGGCAAGCTTTACCTCGAGAGCTCAAGCTGGCCATCAAGCGGGTGCACGAGAACCTAGGCCATGCCGGCCAGCCAGCGATGTTGCGAGCATTGCGCATCGCTCGCGCGTCTGAAACGGCTATAAAAGCATGTCGTTTGTTTCGATGTCCCGAGTGCCCTCGACTCGCAGAGCCAAAGCATCCGAGACCATCCAAATTGCCGGTTGCTAGCGAATTTAACGTGATGATCGGCCTCGACGTCTTGACTGAGAAGGACTCTGCGGGGTAAAGCTGGTCATGGCTTAACATCCTGTGCCAGGGCACAGGCTTCCAGGTTTGCATGCTCCTGGGCGACACGCATGCCAACCCGACTGGAGCAGCAGTACTAGAAGCGCTTGGGAACGGATGGCTTTCCTGGGCTGGCTACCCCGAGCGGGGGATCATCACGGACCGCGGCAAGTACTTCTTGTCAGTGGTCTCAGAAGACTTAGCCGGCCATGGCTGTCATGTGGAACCTGCGGCTAGAGCAGCACCTTGGCAGCTGGGGCAAGTCGAGAGGCACGGTGGCATCAGCCGCCTGGGCGCAGCAAGTTGCGGGAGTCTCGGAGGTGCGGCTCCTCACGGCGGCGGTCAACCAGAGCAAGAATTCGTTGACAAGAAAAGGAGGTTTCTCCCCCAGTCAATGGGTTTTAGGGCGTGACCTTCGCCTTCCCGCCGACCTCGCCGACGACGCGGAGGTGGAGCGCATCGGTGCCCAAGCTTTGGCGGCCACTCCTGGGACAGCCTTCTTTAGAAAAGCTCAGTTGCGACAAGCTGCTCGAGAAGCCTTTGCCAGAGCAGCGAACGACGAGGCCCTACGACGAGCCGAGCTGACACAGGTCAGGCCCTCACGTGGGCCGTTCCCCGTCGGCACCTACGTCTTCTACTACGACGCTGCCGACAAGGAGCCTGGACCGCACTGCTGGCGAGGTGTGGCCCGAGTCGTCGGACGGGAGGGCAGCACCACAGTCTGGGTGTCACACCGTGGCATCCTTCTGGCAGTTTGCCCAGAGCACCTAGCCAAGGCCAACGAGCAGGAGGTGAACCAATGGCTGGCGGTTGGTGACGAGACGGTGCTGATGGACACAGTTCCCGCCTCCGGCGGCAGCGGCTTCATAGACTTGCGGAAGGCCCCTCGACCACCCGAGCCGGACAGCGACAACGCGCAGCAGCAGGTCGAGGGAGAGCAGCAGTTCGCCGAGGACGCCCCGGTCGATCAGGAGCCAGCTGTGGTTTCAAGTGGGCAGTCCTCTTCCAACATCAGCCGGGAGAGGGCCGAGAGCGAGAGGGACGCAAGGAGAGCCGTTCGCTCAAGTGAGTTTTTCGTCCAGCAAGAAGCCAAGCGCAGAAGACGACAGGAACAAAGCCGAGCAAGTGCGAGCCAAGAGCCCGCAGTCGTGCCGGCGCAGGACATCCCCGTCGACCCGCACGGCATGGGCGACCCCGACCTCAACGAGTTCCAGGCCGACTATGATCCCGACGAACATGACTACCGCCAAGCGGTTCCGAGGAGACAGCTGAGTCCAATAGTGGAGGACCCCGCGGCCGAGGCACAAGAAAGAGAAGCCAAACGGCTTCGTGTCATGAGTGGCGAGCGCGCAGCGAGCTATGTGGGAGCGAGTTGCAATGCCTACCTGGCCGCGAACCAGCCAGGCTACCTCAAGGACAAGGTCTTCGAGCACTACGACACCTACGCCAAGGCCTACGGGATCTTGGGGGTAAGCAAGGGCGACCTGATGTTTGGCTTTAAGCGGAACGTCTTTGAGGATCGGTACTATGCCCTCGCCGGAGCTCAGGAAGAAGCAGCGACCATGAAGAAGAAGGGGCGGAAGGAGATCAAGCTACCCGAGCTCAGCGAGGAACAGAAGAAGTTGTTCACTGAGGCAGGCGGCTCAGATGAGAAAGAATGGAATGCCTGGAAATCCAAGGAAGCTTGTGAAGTCCTTGGCCCCACCGAGAGCGAAAGGATCCGTCGCAGCAAGCCCGACCTCATCATCCCGACGCGCTGGGTGAGAACAAACAAGAATGGTGCCCCTTTCCTGGCCAAGTCGAGGCTTGTTGTGCAAGGGTTCAAGGACAAGGCTTTGGGTTTTTACAGAAGAGACGCCCCGACGGCGAGCGCAACGGCTGAAAGCATTTGCCTCGCCATCTGCGCCCACAAGCGTTTCTTGCTGTTCGCGAAGGACATTAAGAATGCCTACTTCTCGGGCAAAAGTGTGGGCCGGGAGATTTACTTGGAGCAGCCTCGCGGCGGACTTCCCGGTCTACAGCCGCGAGAGCTTTTGAAAGCGAAGAAGGCCATCTATGGCTTTGCTGAGGCGGCAAGGCTGTTTTGGCTGGCTTTGCGCGATCATCTCCTTTCTGATGGTTGGGAGGAGAGCAAGCTAGAGCCAGCTTTGTTTTACCTTCGGAAGCAAGGAGCCTTGATGGGCATACTTGTTACTCACGTGGATGACATCGAGGGCGGGGTACACCCAAAGATGCTGGAGGCAGCCTTCGAGAAGTCCAGCCAAGCGCTGGAGTTCGCAACCAACCACGTGAAGGACTTCATCTTCCGCGGCAGGGAGGTGAAGCAAACCGCGGAGGGTCACATCGACGTGAGTATGCGCAACTACGCCTTGAGCATGAAGTGTTTGCAGGTGCCGCCTGAGCGGAGGAAGCAGCTGGAGGCGGAACTTGAGCCCGAGGAACTAGAAAGGCTGCAGAGCGCAGCTGGGGAGCTAGGGTGGCTCACGAGGCAGTTGCGCTGCGACCTGGCCTACGAGAACGGCGTGATCCAGAGATGCAAGACCGATGCAGTGGTTGCAGACCTGGTGCGGCTGAAGCAGTACGTGGGACAAGCCCGGCGAGGAGCTGACTTCAGGCAGCGCTATTGGAGCGACGTCAACCTGGAGACGGCTGTGGTCATTCCGGTACAGGTCGGTCGGTGGCTACTTCATCCTGGTGGCCAACGCCGAGATCCTGGAGGGAAAGGAGGCCAGGGCCAACATCATCGGCTACCACTCCTCCCAAACGAAGCGAGTCTGCAGGAGCACTTTGGCAGCAGAGGCAAGCCATCTGGCAGAGGCTGTGGAGGCTGGTGATTGGGCGATTGTTTCGCTCGAAGAGGCCCTCACCGGGCAAGTGGACCTGAAGAACTGGGACAAGCTCATCGAGCGGAGGTCCCGGGCCTACGTCACGGATGCTAGATCCGTCTACGACTACCTGGCCAAGGACTCCACGAGCACCAGCAGCGACAAGCGCATGGCGATAGAGGGGGCTTTGTTACGGGAGACAGTTCGCAAGGACAACGCCCACGTCAAGTGGATCGATGGTCAACAGAACATAGCGAACGTCTTGACCAAGGCCAATGCTGAGAAGGAGACCCTGAAGGAGTTCTTGAGGACAGGGCGCATGAGCCTCGTCCAGACTGAGGCCAATCAGCGGCTCAAAGAGCGGAAGCGAGAAGAAAGACAAAGGCGAAAAGCCAAGCAGGAGGTGCTCGACAGCAAGACTGACGAGAAGCATGCGAGACGCGATGCCGCCATCAAAGAGGCACAGGAGCTTGAGGGTGACAACGAAACATAAAATACACCGGTGTGAGATTCGCCTGGGCATACCGAGCTTCTGAGCAGTTCGTTGTCATTGCAAAGCACTCGCGGCATTCAGCCGGCCCAAGCAGTGAAGGTGCGCATGCATGAGCACACGGCCCGCCAGATACGCTCAGGTCCGCTTGATCAGAGGAAGCATTTTGCTTCATGGAGCGTTTCACTTTGCATGACCTTAACACATTTCAGCTTGCGGTGTAAAAGCAGGGTTTGCGCTGCCAGTGCGTTCTTCGCAATTATGCTCAGGCTGTTGTTGAGGTTTCGGGGGTTAGTGGCAGTCCCCGCAAAATCCGCGACTTCACGACTCATCACACGAAAGCCGAGGCATGTCTGCTCCCGTTGCCAGCAAGAGTTTCAAGCAGGTGCCGCCGGGCAGCAACAATGTCTTCTCGCCGCTCGCCGTGCGACTCCTGGCAGGTGGGCCCATGTGCCCACAGGACGATTTGCTGGACATCCAGTATGGCTCTGTGGATGTCACCCAATGCCAGGCGCACTGTGAGATCAAGGCTTGCAGCTTCTTCTGGGCTGGAAGCATCCACGGCGGAAAGCAGTGCAGGCTGTACAAAGCTTGTCAGTTCTTGGTACAAACCGAGAATGCTCAGGGCAGCCTTATGGCGGTGTCACGAACGGAGAAGTTTTGCCAGCGAGCTGATCCCAAGAAGTGCTTCGGTTCCTACTTTCGCCGCAGCTTCCTCGGTGCAGGGACCGAGCCGAGCAAGCCTTTGGCGGTTCCCGGAGGCCGCTGTCCCTACGAGGACTTGGCGAGCCAGTGCGACTGGCAGCTGATCCTCGGTGGCCCCGTGCAGGTGCCTCGCACCTCATACCGTGTCCATGTCTGTGCTGTCGTCGATCTCACTTCCGGGCGTCGCGGGTCGATGGTTCTCGATAATACCCCGATAGCATCCGATAGCCCGGTGCACGACTGCTACCGTTGCGACTATGCAGTTGTGGACGCGGGCGACATGGGCTGGCAGCAGAAGCGGCCTTTGCCCAAGACCTTCCTTTCCGGCCAGCAGCTACGCATTGCCTGCTGGTCCGCGCACTACGCGCCGACCACGGCAGCCAGCATCCCCGGCACGGCACCGGACACCTACACGGTGTCTTGTGCTGGGGGGAGCTGGTTTGGCCCCAGCGGTGGAGCTCTGGAGGAATTTGCCTGCAGCCCTTGTTTGCAATTGGTACAGCCGGGCTATGCCACCCACCAGTCGCAGCACCAGCAAGAGCTTTACTTCAGCCCCAGCGTGAAGATGCAGGTGATTGTCGACGGAGGACAGCAAGCGGCACTTTCTCGCCCTTCCGGTCATTCGTCGCCGGTGACTGTTGCTCCCGAGGGATGCCTTTATTATTACATAGATGCAACATCGGTTGCCGGCTGCCAGCTGGATCGCTTGACCTCGGTTAAGCAGTATACAGACCAGCGGAATAATGAACAATGCGCAATCATAGGCATGCCTGGATCATCCTACCTGTGCATAGGTTCGGAAGGTTCGCTTAACAAATCCTCAGTGCCAATTTGCCTATATGCACCTCCCATCGAAGTGAGTAAGATGCGCAGCCCAACAACACATTTGTTCCTCGACGTGGTTCCCGCGGGTAGTTGTCCGACACCGTTGAACTTGGAGGAGGATTATACTGATTATATTCGCAGTGACTGCTCCCAGCCTCCGGCGGAGGACTATACGAGCGAATACCAACGGGGGGGGGTTCGCGGAGGCTGATGTGAGCTTGCTCCAGCTCCGAGGAAGGTCTCGAAGCTGGAAGAGGTGCACGCGGAGGATCTGGCATGAGGGCACATATTTTACCACAGAGAGCCCGAAGACTGCAGATGACACTGCCTTCCGGATAAGAGCTGCAGGGGATGACTCAGGAGGCCCGAGTGGGTGCATTGAGGTCACAGAGATTCCGCATTCCAACGGCTCGCTGGGCCTCACGGCGAACAGTTGCCAGACGCCAATTCCCCAGAAGCAGGCCTTGAACGAGAAGGCACTCCGGGAGAGCATGACGGGGAGCCTTCAGTTTCAGAACAAGGTGCACACCGATTGCAGCTCAGCGGCCAAGGAGTGGCCGCAATGCACGATGAGCAGCCATTGCAACGAGCCCATCAAGAATGGGGCCTTGACCGGAGTGAGCTTAGAAGGCAAGCAGCTGCCTTGCAGCACGACCCCGATTAGCACCAGCGGCGTATACAAGACGGGTTGGATCGACTTGAAGGGTGCGAAGTACGAAGTAACGTGCCCCGAGGGCATGCTGCTGAGCACCTTGGATCACTCCTACAATCCTGCTACGAAGCAGGGCCTTTTCTTCTACAGCTGCGTGCGGGCCACGGCCTTGGGCTCCTGCCAGAATGTCGCCTTCAGCACCGAGGGATTGGAGGTCCAGTGCCCCGAGGAGGCGGCCCTCCAGTCCTTCGTCCTGAAGAAGAGCCCCTTGAACGCCAAGAGTTGAGACACAAACAACAGCACAAAGCCGCAGCAACCATAGAGCAGACTCGCCAGGCTCCTCGGGCAGCTGGAGCATCTCGCCGCGGCCGCAGCCTCGGGCCGCCTTGAGCCTTCAGAGTGGCAAAAGATCCCTCCCCTGCCACCCAGGTGCTGCTACGCGGCCTCGCTGGCCAGGGCCTCGGCCCCATCAGCCGCCAAGACTCTGAGCTTCTGAGAGACTGAGAGCTGTCTGAGAGCTGTCTGAGAGCTGTCTACGGGGGGGCTCGGGGCGCCGGCTTCACTAAACTGAGAACTTGCTTGCAAGTTCGCCGGTTTGGATCTTTTGCGAGTCAAGGTGCTGGGCCTACGCCGGTCACCGCTGAAGGATCCCGATCAGATCGCTGACCGGCTTCAGAGTTGGGAGGGCGTGTATTGCCCAAGTTTGAGGGATGAGAGCGGGAGGCTTCAGTACCTGCAACGCAGCTCCTTCAAGAATCCCCGTGCTAACTTCAGCCAAAGCGTCGACGAGAGCCGAAGCTTGTCCTTCGACCTGACGTTCGGGCAGTGGTGCTTGGCTGGCGTCTGTGCTGCGAGTGATGCAGCCGACCCCATCGATGAGGGCAGTCGCCCGCTCCTCGCGGAGACATGGGAAGCCGTGGCGGTCACGGACTTTGACGGCCGGTTCGGCACACCGACGCCGACCACAGGCCGGATCGGAGTTTCAGTGAGGTGAGGGCAGTGGCTTCGCTGGATGAGCGTAGTGCTAAGCCTTATATAATCCTTAAGCCGTTGCCGCACAGGAGCGACGAAGGGGAAGCGCAAGAAGCCCACTCTGGTGAAGTTCCATGCGCTCGTGCCGAACGTGCCGGTGGAATGCAAGGAGACAGTCCCTGACTGGGACACTGTCGGAAAGACGCTTTCAAAGGAGAATCCCTGCTACTACGTGACAGGCGCGTGCCACCTCTTCCCTGCTTGTAGTCCGAACCCCCAGCCAACCTGCTGTGCTGCAGTGCTGAGTACTACCAGTCTGGGGAAAGTCCGGCGAGAATGGGTTTCTTGTCATGTTGCATGTAGCTGTAGGCAAGGCGGCTCATCAAGATCCGCATTCCGATGTTTTTGACACCTGGGGAGCAGAAGGCTACGCGCAGTGGTGGGAAAGCACAAAGTGGTCGGCAGAGGGGCAAGACTTCAACATGGGCGGCCGCGGTGCCTGGGCTTTGTGGCAAAGAAGGGTGCCTGAGATCGCTGTCAGTAAGGCAAACTTCGGTGAAGCGCAGCAAAGAAACCCGCATCTGAGGGGGTGCCGGCTTCAGCTACGAGCACATCGTGGGCTGCTGGGACAGGGAAGGCAAGCGATCAGGCCACTTGAAGAGTCGAGCCTCTCGGATTCCATGGATTGAGGGAGTTTTTGTCAGGCCGGCACCGCAGGTTGTATACCAGTATGACGGGCGGATTCGGTCATTCATCTCTTCAGGTTTAGCTGGCCGGCTGGGCCCTCCTAGTTGGTGATGGCACCGAAATTCCCACTGCCGGCTCTTACGTCAAACGAATCCGGAGGACTACTCTCACAACGATGGTGATCGCAATGACGATGGTGCTGATGCTTGTATTGATGTTGGTGATGGCGACGATGATGATGCCTTCAGATGACGGTCATTGCTACGGCACTGACGATTGCAAGTGCTACGAACATGACGACCAAAGAAAAGCCAGAACCTCAGCAAGAACCATACGAAGTTTCGCTCATGATGACGACGGCGAGGACGAAGACTTGTAACCATGACCGCCTGATGATCATGAAGATGCGAATGACGATCACGTTGGTAATAATGGTGATAAAGACTATCATGCTGGTGGTGGTGGCGGTGGTGGCGGTGGTGGCGGTGGCGGTGGTGGTTGGTGCTGGGTGGTGATGATTCTGGTGGTTGCGATGGAGATGCCATGGCGACACGATGATGGTGACTGCGATGAAACCCCAAGCCACGGCTATGACATTGGCCAAGACGAGTAAGATAAACCGCAGTGTGATGCTCAGGGCGGCTGCTGATGATGACAACGATGATAACGATTATCAATCCGAGTGCGATGGCGAGGCCCACCAGCACCATGACGACGAATAGTTGTAAGTTGTAACCATGGTGGTGAGGATGGTGATTAGGCATGGTGATCTTGCGCCATGTTGGGGCCACACGCTGGGGCCGTGGCCGTGGGTCGTTTCCCAAGCTGCGACTCAGGAGCGGGACGTTTCGGAGGGGAAGGACACCATTACAGCCTTCTTCAATGGCCCAGTGGGCCTCGCTTGCTTGTTTGCTCCTGACGATGCGGCCGCCCCACTTGGCATTGGGGCCATCATTAAAACGAGCAAAATTTGCGATGGTGTCATCAAAAAGAGTGTCGAGGAGGTCTACAGTGGGATAGAGTGGATGACAGACCAGTACGAGGCCAACAGCGATAAGGAAAGCGACGCGGACTGTAGCGGTGACCATGCTGCGATCCAGCGCATATGGTGCGACCTCCACTGTGTCAGAGAGGCGGTTGAGGAGGGGACCACCGCGATCCTGGGATCCTTGAAGGAGGCAGTGAACGTCCTGGACACAAACTTTGATCGCCTCATGCAATACTACACCGGCCTTGCTGGTGACAAAGTGGATGCGCTTGCTGGCCCAAAGAAGCTGAGCGCGGCTGAGGTGAAGAAGTCGTTGCTTGTCAAACTGGGCCAAGTGCATCGCCTCGTCTCTGCGCCCTTGGACCAGGTTGGGAACGTGGCGTCTCAAAACTTGCTGGAGACGTTTCTCCAAGATTTGCACAATCGCTCCAGCGCAGCCGAAGTCGTCGAGGATGTGGAGCAGCTTCATGCGTCCATGCTCCACATTGCCCGACGCAGCAAGTTGAGCGCCAGTGCCGCCGTAGCTGCCAATGTGGGCAGGGCGGCAGTGAGCATGCAAGAGCTGGCACGCAGCAGGACTGAAATCGTTCAGTTCACACGTCTTTCGAAGCTGCGATATGTGTTTCACTTGCCCTCGTTAGCCTCGAGACTTAAGACTTAAGCCACATGTCCGTCCTTTTCGAGCGCTTTCAGGAGCCATCTTCTGGGCGTCTACTCGCACCACGGCCGCGTCTCGAGGCCTGGAAGACGGCTTGTTTACTCCGTTAAGGCAAGTTGTGGAATCCTTGCTCCATGCCTGCGGCGATTTTCTCTTTGAGGTTCTTGCTCCTTCGGGGACCCCCTGCGTTTGTCGCACGCACAAGTAACCAGATGCAGGCAGCGCCAGCAACGCCTGGCAGCTGTCGCGCAGTCGGAAAGCGATCGGCAGCTCCTGGAGGGAGGTGGGAAATTTGGGCTGCCAGGATGTTCAGTGAAGATCGACGAGCAACGCTTTGTAACGATATCAGCTTTCCAGCAGCAAACGCTGAACTAGTAGGAGAGTAGAAGGAGCACGAAGGAGTGGCAGCAGCTGGCTGGCAGCAGCTGGCAGCAGCTGGTGGCAGCTGGTGGCAGCAGCCGTAGCCGTAGCCGTAGCAGTAGCCGAAGCAGTAGCAGTAGAGTAGCAATTCGTGTGGTACTCGTAATGGCCCACTTGGCTGTTGGCCTCCAGTCATGTCACGGCCGGCCGCGTGCAGGTGATGCCGTAGGCTCGGCCAAGAGCTTAGGCGGCGAGGTCTGGCAAGTGCTGCTTCAGCTGGATTCGACGTGGTGGGCCTTGCGAGCGGCCTTTGACAAATACTTAGAGAAGGCGGGCCCGCGCTTGTGACGTGGTTGGCCTTGATTGGCTCGTTTTCTAAGACGCGTTCCCAGACGCACTGAAGAGCAAGCATGCGCCGTTGAGACCTCGAGGCGAAAGACTACTCGTCCACCTACACTTCATCGGCAAAGCTCCTCCAGGAGCGGGGTGCTTCTGGAGAGTTTTTGGCATGAAGGCCACCAGGGTGGAGGCCAGCAAGCTCGAAGCTGCAGAGAGATGATTTTCTGATCGAGGAAAAACAGAGTCAGAGGGATGCTTCTGCTTCTGCGATGACTCCTCGTCCCATGCAGGACTACGTCGACTGTGCAGCCCAGTTTGGGCCGGTGCGGGAGGCTTATGGGCTGCTGGTCCAGGCCGAAGCCAATGCTAACAAGGCTTGGCCCGATTAAAAGCGTCTTGAGCCGTCTTCAAGATCCTTGTTTTTGCGTTAGGGCGCCGTGGCAAAGAGCGTGAATCAGACATAGTCAGTGTGAGGCCCTCCACGAGGCTTGGTCGGAGATGGTGCCTTTGGCCGGGCTGCTGGTGTCGAAGCTCGTCGACTCCAACTCCCTGGTCAAGCTCAGCATCGTGGCTCTCGAGGTCGCCCCACATAGACTCTTTCGAAGAAGCCCTTTCTGAGGCCTCCACGATGTGCAGCTCCTGCTGGAGCCGAGCTTGCCCGTCCAGCAGTGGCCCAGGCTCTGTGACGCTGGCCTGGATGCTGCAGTAGGCAGGGAGGGAGGGAGGGAGGGGGACGCTTTACAGCCATAGCTCCCGAGGCTCAGCCGTGAATCGGAGCCTGGACGAGGGCTTGACAGGGCAAACCATGCAGCAGTTGGCGACCATGTTCTCTGAGCTGATTCTTGGCTGAGGGCTCTTCTACTCTGCTTCAATCCAGTCGAGTGGCAGTTTCGGTTTGCATGTTTTGTACACCTGTATATAAAGGATGCTGCTGAAGTCGCGGGCAAACAAGCGGCTGGAGAACCTGGACGTCCTCGAAGACAGCTTGGAAAGAGCGCGAGAACACATGACACAAAGCTTCGCCGCTCGGCTTCTCTTGCACGAGAGAATGGCAAAGCAGGTTCGCACAAAGTTTTGCGAGCCCGCACAGGGGGTGTGAGTTTCTGCAATTGCGGCTCGTAGTGAATGCGTGCCTCACCTTTTTAACGTAACATCTCAGTCCCGTGTTCCGCTACCGGGCCGCTCATGTTTTAAGACCGGGCCGCCCATGTTCCAAGAAAGGTGTTGGCAGATGACTTGTCTTGCGCATCGTTATACGGTGTTCTGATTGACACAGTCTACACTGTATCATAAATGCGCAGGATGGGCACTGCAACTTCTGGGAACCAAAGTTTGCTCCCAGTTGTTATTGCTTCTATGCGTGGCATTTGCTTCGGCAGAGACTACAGTCTGTCCTTTCAAGCAAATATTCAGATCTAGTCGTCGCAGCAGCAAAAGAAGCTTGGCTTGGCTTTGCCTCTCACACCTGCTGCTGCTGCTGCTCCCTCCCTTCCTCCTCCTCCTCCT